GGCCCGAAGGAGGCGTCTCCTGGCACCCGACAGCCCCAGCAGCCGGCGCCCCAGGTCTCAAATAGAAGGCAGGGGCACCTCTTCCGGAACCCAGGTGGGACAGGCAAGAGGGGCACCCTGCTGGGTGAACTCTGAGACCCTAAGCCCCACCTCTCCCCACCCCATGGGCACCACCCCTCTCCCAGGCTGCCTAGGGGTGCAGGCTGAAGGATCACATAGAACTTGGTTCCGTCTGCTCCACCCCCAGAACGCCTGGCTCCCTGGGCCATCACTGGCCACTTCCTCACCCTGGACATCAGCTGCAAGGGCCCTGGGTCCCCCCCGGCCCCATCAGCCACCAGCGGCAGCAGCTGATGACGCTGCAGCGCCACGTGCAGGGCTGTGTCCCCCTCCTCGTCCTCGGCGTTGACACTGCACCCAGCGTCCACCAGCAGTGGCACCAGCCCCACATGGGCCTGCTGCACGGCTAGATGCAGCGGGGACTGCAGCTTCCGGTTGCGCACATTCACGTCACAGCGGCCCTGGGGAGAGGTGGGCACGGGCTCAGACCAGGGACCCCAGTGGGCCTCCCGCTCCCTGGTCCTTGGGCAGGCCTGGGCCGCGCCCTCACCTCCCGGATGAGGATCTGGGCCACCTCACGGTGGTTGTTGAGGGCGGCCAGGTGGAGCGCCGTGAAGCCGTCCTCCTTCTTGGCGTCCACCAGCTGCCGTGCCCGAGCCAGAATCTTTCTCACAGCTCTGTGGGAGTAGGGAGGTTGGTCTGGGACCTGGGACTGTCCCTGGGCAGCACAGCAAGAGGCTGGCCGCAGCTGTGTGCCCACTCCACACTCACAGCGCGTGGCCTTTGAGGGAGGCATGGTGCAGCAAGGTGAAACCCTGGCTGTTGGTGGCGGTGACATCGATGTTTGGCACCTCCGTGAGGACCTCGACGATGCCACTGGCGCCAGTGCCCGCCGAGATGGCGGAGTGCAGGGGCGTGTCCGAGTGGGCATCCTGCTGGGGCAGAGTCCGTGGTCACTTGGGGGTGACTTCTGCTTGGGTCAAGAGCCAGGACACCCAGGGAGCAGCGCTCACGGGCAGGGGGCACCCAGGGAGCAGCGCTCACGGGCAGGGGGCACCCAGGGAGCAGCGCTCACGGGCAGGCGGCACCCAGGGAGCAG